AATTCCAAATGGTACATAATAGAGATGTGCTCATGGAGAATGTAAACAAACCAGGTGGCATGCACCGTATTTGAAAGACCACTTGCCGTATAGAGAAGTTTTGGTCATAATTTGAGATCGCCGTATTAGCGGAACGCCGTAAGGCAAAACGCCAAAAAGCGGGGCCTTACTGTATGTAAAAAACACATTGAGCTTCCTGAGTATCGTCGTCCTACACGTGTATGAACTGAATTGAAGGATGGGAGGGTGGTGTTGGTGGGTGTGGGTGGCTAAGGGAGGCGGGGGATGGCATTGCAGCAGGTCTCCCCCATTGACACAATGGTGTAACTCACAGACCATACCGCCCGGCAGCATTCAAAATTTTTCCCCTCCCACAACCGCGTTAAACTAATTTTTCAAAGTGTTAAACAAAAATATGCCGCAATTCTTCAATCGTGCTACATCCAAAACGTGCAAGACAAAACCATGTTAAACGACAGTCTACTGTACTTCAATAATAAATAGTGGGCTTCATGAAATAAGTCAATAACTTACTTCTGAGATATTCATATATCACTGCACTAGTGATCTAGTGCAGTTAGCCTCTCAAAACCTCAATTTTCTCTTACCCAGGACCAAAGAACACATTATAGGAAGGAGCAGTAATGATTTTATATGCTCGGACTGGTCCTGGACACTCACCATATTATGGTTATTTTATTCACTCTTGAGTGTATATCATGTTTCTATGTTACTTATAGTGTTTATGTCATAAAATAAATTCTGATAGATAAATAAGCCGTAGAGTTGATATTAGCATTATATTGAAGTATTTTCTCCTGCCCCTGGGGTTGATTTTTGGGGGATGGAACGGATTAATGGCATTTCATTTAATTTCAATGAGGAAAATTGATTTGATATACGAGCAAACTGAGTTACGAGCTCGGTCATGGAATGAATTAAACTCGTCAGTCAAGGTATCACTGTATTACAGCCATAAAAGTTACTATTTGGTATTCCTACATTGCTTTTCTATGAAAGTAAATCTTTTGCACATGTATGAATACACACCCTCATGTGAGTTCTCTTCTTTCTGTCTTAATAGTCCATGTCTTTGTAGTGTTTCCTCTCAAATTACAAACTGTAGGTAAATGGGTTAAAATCCTTCCTCTGTAAACAATGTGCATCAGCAGCCACTATTAAAATACTGAGAGCAAGGGGGCTAGTAACCCTATCTTCCACATCAATTACATTCAAGACAATGAGGAAATTTTAAAGCAGGGTTGTTTAACCCTTAAACGGTCCAAATGGATCGACGTTCAAATCCGTAGTGCTCCAAAAGTAGATCTATGTTTTTTTACATATTTTCAAAAATAACAAAAAAAAATGTAGATAAAAGTTTTTTACACATTTTCAAATGTAAAAAAAAAAAAAAGATGATGTACACCTACCATCCAACTTACGACCGAGTTTGGTTCCGAGAAACCAGTCGTAAGTCAAAATGGTCGTAAGTCGAACTTTACTACTGAATATCAACAAAACATTTTTGTAATGACTTTATTTTATTGTTTTATTTTGGTATTTCATGTTTTACTTTACTTTTTATGTTGTTAGTACTGTATTTTATACTGTAAGGTTTAGGATAAAACAGAAAATTTCCCAGAAATTTGGCATAAAAAACACAGTCGTAAGTCGAGTGGTCGTAAGTCGAGCAGGTCGTAAGTCGGATGGTAGGTGTACATTTTTTTTCATACTTTCAAATGTTGAAAAAACGTATATATACATTTGGACCGTTTAAGGGTTAAATGTGTGTGGTTATAATATACATAGATGATAATCTTTGTATTGGTGGATAAAAGGTTGATGAGTACCTGTGATGGTTTTTTTTAAAGTGAGCATTTTTTTTTTAAGAGTAACCATTTTATCACAGCATTATTTACTGGTAACTACAGTAAAAGTATGAGGCAGATGTATAACAGAGAAGCTCAACAGAAGTGAAAATGAATGAACTAAATAACAAAGGATGCAATTAGTAGGTGCTACATGCAATTACCGAAAGGTGGGCTAGAGAGAGTACAGGTACTGAGGTCGAAGATAAATGAGGTAGACCAAAGAGTGCAGTGCTAGTGTGTGCGGTAGAGATTTATGGTTATAGGAGGTTTCATGCAGATGGGAAAGAAAAAAAAAAGAAAAAGGAAATGATTGGTGGAATAAGGCCAAGAGGGTGGTATGGTTGAATAAATTTAGCACGAGAGGTTTTCACAATATAAAAGTGATATACACAAGGCAGAATACTTGTAGAGATAAGGAAAGATTAAAAAGAAAAGTAGTGCGCAAAAGCCTTTGACAGTAAAGTTTGCTGAGAATACAAAACATTTTGAAGAAAGATTAACAAGACGAGAAAGCCTTGGATGCAAATGTACTTATAAACCCTTAAACTGTTCAAACGTAGATCTACGCTCACTTGTGTAGCACTCTGAACATAGATCTACGTTTTTTTACATAAAGCATGTAAAATCGAACGTAGATCTATATTCAGAGTGATAGAAAAAGGATGAAACAAAACTAATTCCTTCAATGTTGGAGGTTTATAGGGCCACTGACATCATACGCCGCACTGTCATCCAACCTCAACCTCCGCCACCATCTCTGCTCCATCTGTTTATATAAAGTGTACACTATACACTTTATATAAACAGTTTATTACTTTACATTCTATAGTGTATTAAAATGTATTGTTTTTATACAATATTTCTTATTTATAAATACACTGTTTCAGTGTTTTCTCTTATAATAAAAGCATGGGAAGATACTATAGTCAGAGTGGGAGAGTAAATGGCAGATGCTGCCACCGTTTCCACTGCCATCATCACTCGTCATGTTATGGCCTATATTATTCATTCTAGAGCATATATCATGTTTCTCTGTTAATTATATTGTTTATTATGTCATTAGATGAATTGTGATAGATAAGTAAGCCATAAAGTTGATATTGGCATTATATTAAAATATTTTGTCCTGCCACTGGGATGAATTAATGTAATTTCAATTAATTTAAGTTAGGAAAATTGATTTCATATACGAGCAAATTGAGTTAGGAGCTAGGTCATGGAACGGATTAAACTCAAAAGTCAAGGTTCCCATGTACTTCTTTTCTACCAAGGGAAACGGGACAAAAGTGTGTAAAAATTATAGTGGAAAGTATACCACGAAAAGTGCATGGTTGAATTTTTCAAAAAGTCTGGGATAAAATAAAGACAAGGTGTTTTCTAGGGTGTTTTTTTTTTTTACTGGATGTTTTCAAGGTCATTAGATAGACCAGTAGACCCTAAATTATTTGGACAGTCTAAATAATTACCAATCATTCTTGATTGTATTTTATTAGCCAATTTTTGCATGATTAAAAATGAATGTTAAGTGTTATACAGAATGCCAAAGAGGGTTTACAAATTTGTGGCTTGGGGAAGATGTTGAGTTTATCCCTGGAAGGTTTAGAGGGGATAGTGAAGGAAGTTCTAAGTGGTAGACTTTAGTATCCAGCAGGTGTGTGCAAGAATGTTAGATAGGAGTGGGAATCAACACTTATTAACCCTTTCAGGGTCCGTGCCGTAGTTCTATGGCTTTGAGTTGAGGTTCAATACCATAGATGTACGCCATGAGCTCAGCTCGCTCTGACAAGCTGTGAGCAGTAAATTTGGGCCTAGATATGAGAGAATACATCTATGTGCTATGTGTGCACCACATAAAACAAATCCTGCAGCATACAGTGCATAATGAGAGAAAAAACCGAGACGGTAATTTTCGATTAAAACAGCGACTTTGCAATGTTTTTTCAAATGTTTTTTATAGTTGTAATTGCGATTTCTTGGTCTCATTTGATAGAATGGAAGATATATTACAGAAATAGAGATGATTTTGATGGGTTTTAGTACTGGAAATGGCTTGAAACTGAGCTCAAAGTAGCAGAAATGTTAAATTTTTGCCGATGTTCAAGAGTAAACGAATGACCTCACTTCTAATACACACCAGCTGATGGGTCTAATGTACGTTCACAAAAGTGCTGATATTATTTATACAATTATTACAATATTGCATAACAATAAATCTATTTTTGGGTTGAATAAAAATACATTATGTGAATAAAAAGATCAAAATGGAATTCATTTGTAAAGCCTGAAAACATAGCTAGTGAACAGAGGAAATGTTAGTTTAGTGCCAGGAATGCCTGCATTGTTTATTCTGGACCCTATTTTGAAATTGGAATATTATGAACTTTGCGTTAAATTGGCCAAATTACCTATTTCCGATCATTTTATTTTGTATTTGAAACAGTTGACTTGGCAATTTCTTGTGCTCAATCGATAGAAGTAATACTAGTGAAATAGCTAAGAATTTGGTCAACTGGAATAATGTAACTGGCCTAAAATGGGAGTCAGCAAAATCGCCAATGCATAAATAGTGCTGATGCATCAAAATTCACGAGAGCATAATTTCGTCAATTTTCCATCAAATTTCATACTTTTTGTTTTATTACCTTCAGAAAAAGATTATTTACCATTTCATAAGAAAAAAATAATTTTTTTTTTTTTTTAAATTCTTGGACCCTGGTGAACACTTTGAAATTTGGCCTCTGGACCCTGAAAGGGTTAATTTAACCAACATTATCCTACTTTTAATAAAATTCCTTAACCCTTAAACTGTCCAAACGCAGATTGCACGCGTAGTGCTCTGAACATAGATCTACATCCAATTTTACATTGTTTCTTATGTAAAAAAAAAAAAAGTAGATCTACGTTCGGAGCGCTACGCGGGCAAACGTAGATCTACGTTTGCACAGTTTATGGGTTAACCACAGTACTATACCTTATGAATTAAGGCTACTAATGTATTCCTATTTTACAACTATGTACCAGACCATATGAAAACATTATATATATTACTATTTAGTGTACTACACAAAACTTACATGACACCATTAATTTACAAATTTTTAAATAACATTAATTCATGCTACAACTCACCTCCTTGAGGTTCTGCGCTCATCTCTACTTCATTAGTAGCGCTACGCTTCAGTGGTGAAACTCTGTCTCCTTCCCCATTCTCTTGCCCTGCCATTACACCTCCCCCTCCATCTCTATGCCCATTCTGATGCCCAGCATCACCATTTCCTAAGTGAAAAAGTATATTTTCCTTAAACCATAAAATGAAAAAAGTACATAGTACATGAATTTAATGAGTACTGTATATCACAATCTCCAACATAACTATGTTAAATCACTAATTGAAGGACTATCATGTACATTTTATAATTTCCACTAATTCTACTTTATGAAGAACATTTGATGCAAATACTACTAAAATAAAGTTTGGAACAAAAGCACATGAGGGGTCCATAATTATGAAAAGCCATATCCACCATTTTCTAAAATTCTCAGTATACTCTTAATTGAGAGACTACTACATGAATAAAAAATATTAGGTTTACCTTAGGAACACAACCTTATTTCTAGTAGTAATGAAATACCATAACTTCACTTCTGACATATACAGTGGACCCCGGTTAACGATATTTTTTCACTCCAGAAGTATGTTCAGGTGCCAGTACTGACCGAATTTGTTCCCATAAGAAATATTGTGAAGTAGATTAGTCCATTTCAGACCCCCAAACATACACGTACAAATGCACTTACATAAATACACTTACATAATTGGTCGCATTCGGAGGTAATCGTTATGCGGGGGTCCACTGTATTAGACATGCTTTGATGGCCCCTACTCCCTCAGCCCAGAACTGGGCAGGGTTTGACTAGTACAGCTGCTTGATCAACCAGGATTTAACAATTTTACTCTTATTTAAATGATATATTGTAATTTAATAAACTTGTCAGATGCAGACTTCAAAGGAAATCTAATTAAAAAAAAAAAGCAGTGAGGAATCGCCTCGACACCCACACCAGTGGGCCGCATGAGATGAATCGCCTTGACACCCACACCAGTGGGCCGTGCGAGGGGAATTGCCTCGACACCCACACCAGTGAGCCACACGAGAGGAATCGCCTCGACACCCACACCAGTGGGCCGCATGAGAGGAATCGCCTCGACACCCACACCAGGGGGCCACGTGAGACGAATCGCCTCGACACCCACACCAGTGGGTCGAGCGAGACCAATTGCCTTGACACCCACACCAGTGGACCGTGCGAGAAGAATTGCCTCGACACCCACACCAGTGGGCCGTGCGAGAGGAATTGCCTCGACACCCACACCAGCGGGCCGTGCGAGAGGAATTGCCTCGACACCCACACCAGTGGGCCGTGTGAGAGGAATTGCCTAGACACCCACATCAGTGGGCCATGCGAGAGGAATTGCCTCGACACCCACACCAGTGGGCTGTGCGAGAGGAATTGCCTCGACACCCACACCAGTGGGACATGCGAGAGGAATTGCCTCGACACCCATACCAGTGGTCCGTGCGAGAGGAATCGCCTTGACACCCACACCAATGGGCCGAGCGAGAGGAATTGCCTCGACACCCACACCAGTGGGCCATGCGAGAGGAATTGCCTCTACACCCACACCAGTGGGCTATACACTGTACAAGAAGAATCACCTTGACACCCACAACCAGTGAGCAGCCTGATAAGCACCTCGACACCCACAACTAGCGGGCAGCCAGACAAGCATCACCTTGACACCCACAACTAGTTGGCAACCAGATAACATCACCTCGACATCCACAACCAGTGGGCGGCCAGATAAACATCATCTCGACACCCACAACCAGTGGGCGGCCAGATAAACATCATCTCGACACCCAAAACCTGTGGGCAGCAAGATAAGCTTCATCTCACCACCCACATATAACTATAACTTATATTGCTATAACTTATACTGCCAGGCACACCATCTAAAGGGGACAAAAAGATACAAAACATCCAGACCATGGGAAAACCTGGGTAGCCACAGCCACTGAAGAGAGAGAAGTTTTTTAGTGCCAGGAAGGGAAAAAACTGGCAGGAAATGGCAGAAATCGTACACCAAATCCAGTCATTCCTGGAGTGGAATCACAGTCAATGGCCTCCACTCCAAACCAAAAGATACAGATATTAGTGCCGGAAAAAAAAGTACCCCCCAGTACCACCAACACCACCAATCCGATGACATTCTTCTTTGCAAATTTACAAGGTCTAAAGCCAGCAACGAACAACAAAATACTTTTCATCCGTGGACTGCTTGCAGAGGCAAATTGCATGTTTGTGGCTTTTACAGAGACCCACACAAAGGATCACTTGGACAACGAAATATGGATCCCAGGTTACAACCTATACAGATGCGACAGAGTGAACAGGCAAAAGGGGGGGAGGAGTGGCCTGTATATCGCAGAGTCACTTATTTGCACAGAACTGCTAAATGCCTCAAATGATGTAGTTGAAGTTTTAGCAGTAAAGATCGAGAATCAATATCTAGCCATTGTGATAGTCTACAAGCCTCCAGATACAACGTCCCAACAATTCCAGGAACAGCTGTTGAAAATTGACCACTGTCTAGAAAACCTTCCAGCTCCTGCCCCCAACATCTTGCTCCTGGGGGATTTCAACTTAAGGCACCTAAAATGGAGGAATATAGCAAATAATGTTCTTGCAGTGATAACACCAGGAGGCAGCTCAGATGAGAACTCACACACAAACAAGCTTTTAAATCTCTGCACAAAATTCAACTTAAACCAGCAAATAATAGAGCCTACTAGACTGGAGAATACACTGGACCTCATCTTCACTAACAATGATGATCTGATACGAAATGTCACCACATCAAAAAAATATACTCGGATCACAACATAATCGAGGTTCAGACATGTATGCGCGGAGCCCCAGACCAACAAAATGGATCAGTCATGAGGTAGCCTTCATCAAATTCAACTTCAATAACAAGAACATAAAGTGGGACCAAGTAAACCAAGTCCTAAATGATATAAGCTGGAAAGATAGACTAAGCAACACAAACCCAAACTTTGCCTAAAACAAATTAACTCTGTGGGGCACTCGATGTATGCTTAAGGCATATTCCTTTAAAAAAAAAAGAGGAGTAGATGTAAAATATAGAGAGACAGGCGCTCCCTTTACAGGCGATGGAAAGGAATAACAGAGCGGCTAAAAGAGGCCAATATATCTGAAATGCGTAGGGAGACACTGGTCAGAGAAATAGCAAACATCGAACTTAAGCTAAAGGAATCTTACAAGAGCCAGGAATCGCAGGAAGAACTTAAAGCCATAAATGAAATCGAAAGAAACCCAAAGTATTTCTTTTCTTATGCCAAATCAAAGTCAAGAACAACATCCAGTATTGGGCCCCTACTTAAACAAGATGGGTCCTACACAGATGATAGCAAGGAAATGAGTGAGCTACTCAAGTCCCAATATGAATCAGCTAAAATTTAGCATGCCGCTAACCAGACAGAGTCGAAGATCCAAATGAATTTTTTAGAGAGCGCCACAGAATTTGGTAAACAAGCCTATCTGATGTTATCCTGACGCCAAATGACTTCGAACAGGCGATAAATGACATGCCCATGCATTCTGCCCCAGGGCCAGACTCATGGAACTCCGTGTTCATCAAGAACTGCAAGAAGCCCCTATCACGTGCTTTTAACATCCTAAGGAGAGGGAGCATGGACACTGGGGTCGTCCCACAGTTACTAAAAGCAACAGACATAGCCCCACTCCACAAAGGGGGCAGTAAAGCAATAGCAAAGAACTACAGACCAATAGTGCTAACATCCCATATCATAAAAATCTTTGAAAGGGTCCTAAGAAGCACAAAATGCATGCTAAAGGAATAACAGGAAAAGTTGGTAGATGGATCTATAACTTCCTCACAAATAGAACACAAATAGTAGTAGTCAACAGAGTCAAGTCTGAGGCGGCTACGATGAAAAGGTCTGTTCTCGCTCCCATCTTGTTCCTCATCCTCATATCTGACATAGACAAGGATGTAAGCCACAGCACCGTGTCTTCCTTTGCAGATGACATCCGAATCTGCAGGACAGTGTCTTCCAATGCAGACACTGCAAGGCTCCAGGCGGACATCAACCAAATCTTTCAATGAGCTGCAGAAAAAAGAATATGAAGTTCAACGATGAGAAATTTCAATTACTCCGATATGGTAAACATGAGGAAATTAAAGCTTCATCAGAGTATAAAACAAATTCCAGCCACACAATAGAGCAAAAAACTAACGTGGGAGTGATATGTTGGAGGATCTCACCTTCAAGGACCATAACATTGTATCAATCACATCTGCTAGAAAAATGACAGGATGGATAACGAGAACCTTCAAAACTAGGGATGCCAAGCCCATGATGAGACTCTTCAGGTCGTTTGTTCTATCTAGGCTGGAATATTGCTGCACACTAACAGCACCTTTTAAGGCAGGTGAAATTGCTGACCTAGAAAATGTACAGAGAACTTTCACGGCGCGCATAACGGAGATAAAACACCTCAATTACTGGGAGCGCTTGAGGTTCCTAAACCTGTATTCCCTGGAACGCAGGCGGGAGAGATACATGATTATATACACCTGGAAAATCCTGGAGGGACTAGTACCAAATTTGCACACGAAAATTATTCTCTCCGAAAGCAAAAGACTCGGCAGACGATGCAACATCCCCCCAATGAATAGCAGGGGCGTCAATAGCACGCTAAGAGACAACACAATAAGTGTCAGGGGCCCAAGACTGTTCAACTGCCTCCCAGCATACATAAGGGGGATTACCAATAGACCCCTAGCTGTGTTCAAGCAGGCACTGGACAGGCACCTAAAGTCGGTACCTGACCAGCCGGGCTGTGGCTCATACGTTGGATTGCGTAGAGCCAGCAATAACAGCCTGGTTGATCAGGCCCTGATCCACCATGCGGCCTGGTCACAGACCAGGCCATGGGGGCGTTGACCCCCGGAACTCTCTCCAGGTAAACTCTCCAGGTAAGCTCTCCAGGTAAACAACTAGTGGGCGGCAAAATAAGCTTCATCTCGCCACCCACAACTAGTGGGCGGCAAGATAACATCGCCTCGACACCCACAACCAGGGGGCAGCAAGATAACATCACCTCGACACCCACAACCAGTGGGCGGCCAGATAACATCACCTCGACACCCACAACCGGTGGGCAGCCAGATAACATCACCTCGACACCCACAACCAGTGGGCGGCCAGATA